CTGCTCATGGTGAGGGTGGGAGAGGTGTGAGGCTCACCTGCACATGGTGAGGGTGGGAGAGATGTGAGCTGCACCTGTGCATTGTGAGTGTGGGAAAAGTGTGAGCTGCATTGGCGGGTAGTGGGTGCACGGAACATGTGAGCCCCAGTGCTCATGAGGAAGTGGGTGGGATTGAGGCAGCCTCGAGTGGCCTGTCACACTCCCTTTGCTTCCCCTACAGGAGGGCAATCAGTGACCCACACTGGCCCCCCCATTGTGGTCACCCTGGCCAACACAGCTGTCACCTTCATCTGCAGCATCACCTACCCATACACCTCGAAATTCAAGGACTTCACAGTCAGCTACTATCACATAGACCTTCAGGGCCAGAGGAGCGCTGAGGAGCAGACTGCCTGCCGGTCCCAGCCAGGCACAGAGAACCAGACCTACATCTTGCAGTGCCAGGTCACGCCCAAGCTGCCGGACTCATCCGCCACTGGCACCTACTACTGCTACGTCCACTGGCCAGACTACGAAGAGAGACACAGTGGCCCCTTCATCCTGGTCAGAGGTAAGGCTTCCTCTGTGGCCGTCCCCAGGGGAAGGACCCGGAGGTTTCAGCCAGCAGTTTGGCGCACAGGATCTGAAGTGGAGAATGGTTTGCCTCGTCTTCCAGCTCTGGCAAAGCAGAGCAGAGCATCGTCAGGGACCCCGGCCCTGCAGGTGTGCCGAGGCGTCCACCTTTGTGTGGAAAGGGCAGAGGCGTGGGATGTGGATCCGCCTCTAGCCACCTCTGGCTGAGCGAGGTCACTAGGCCCTTGGTCTCATTGTCCCATCGGCACAATGGGGTGGGGGTGGGGGGCTGGCCTCTGCAGAACCAGGCGTGTGCACGTGTGTATTTGTGGGGCCTTGTGCATGTGAGCACTCATCTCAAGCACATCTTTCTGGGGAAACATTCCTAGTTTTCAACACATTCTCAAAGGAGTGATGACCCTAAAAGTTCAGAACGAGCCCGTCACAAGGCCATGATTCTCTGACCTGCCTCTGTGATTCCCACTGGGAGGGGCCGGGGGCTGCAGAACACCAGAGACCCCGGTTTGAGTCCCAGTCCTGCTGCTGTCCCGGAGGCGACCTTGGGCCTGGTCTTCACGGCAGGGCTCTGCCTGTCAAGGACGAGTCGGAGAATGAACGAGAGCCCAGGCGAGGGCTGGCGTCTGGCAACAGGACGTGCTCGGTCCATAACCTGATGTGCCTGGCACGTGGCTGGCCCTCCGTAGGATTTTGCCAGCCAGATGGAAGGAAGGGGGGGCGGCAGGAAAGGAAGGATGGGTGGAGGGAGGGAGAGCGGGCTGGATGACGGAGGGATGGACGGGTGGCCCAGGAGCAGGGGGAGGCTGTGCCCTCACCTGCCCGGTGCAGCCTCCTGTCAGTCCTGGCACAAACCCCTCTCCTCAGCCCTCAGCACACCCGCCCGTATCATCGCCATGTCGCATAGGGAAAAGGGAGGCCCCAAGAGATGAGAGGACTCGTCCCAGTCCTGTGAGCAGCTCTCCGTGGAGCCAGGGCACTGAGGCAGGGGCTCCAGAGGAGCAGACGACGTGGTCCTTTCCTTAAAGAGAATCGGGGCAGTGAACGTGGAAAGGAGGCTTAGCAAAGCCAGTGCAGGAACGAGGACCTGAGGGGGCTTAGCAGGGTGAGGGGCCTGGTGGGGGGTCGTTGTAAGTGGGGTTTGGGGCCTGGTGAGGTGGGCTGTGCCCTGGCTTCTCCTGGGTGACTAACCCCTCCACCCCTCTTCCTAGACACAGGGTACCGAGAGCCCCCGCAGATCCCCCGCAAGCCCCTGCTCATTGGCTTCACCAGCCTCCTGTCTGTCCTGAGTGTCCTGGGCACAGCTCTGCTGTTCTGGAAGAAGGTACGGGATAAATGCACACAGCAACGCGGCTCTCCACCCCACACGCCTCCTGGGGGCAGAGGGGCTGCCACAGCCCAGTAGGGCATCCCGGTGGGCCCCGGTGAGGGGCGCATCCACGCCTGTAATAAGTGTCCATCGTGGCCCCTTGCACTGGGGGCTGGGCACATCCCCNAGCCAGTGCAGGAACGAGGACCTGAGGGGGCTTAGCAGGGTGAGGGGCCTGGTGGGGGGTCGTTGTAAGTGGGGTTTGGGGCCTGGTGAGGTGGGCTGTGCCCTGGCTTCTCCTGGGTGACTAACCCCTCCACCCCTCCTCCTAGACACAGGGTACCGAGAGCCCCCGCAGATCCCCCGCAAGCCCCTGCTCATTGGCTTCACCAGCCTCCTGTCTGTCCTGAGTGTCCTGGGCACAGCTCTGCTGTTCTGGAAGAAGGTACGGGATAAATGCACACAGCAACGCGGCTCTCCCGGGGGCAGAGGGGCTGCCGCAGCCCATTAGGGCATCCCGGTGGGCCCCGGTGAGGGGCACATCCACGCCTGTAATAAGTGTCCATCGTGGCCCCTTGCACTGGGGGCTGGGCACATCCCCCTACCCCTGCATGGCTGGGCCTGCCCCGCCAACTCCACCACCTGAGAATCCAATGGTAGACGCAGGACCACATGTTTACCATTTCCAGCTCCCCAGATTAAGAAACCCTGCCCAGATTTTCTGGATCCCAGCAACCTGGAAGGAAAGAATAGCCTAAGAGCCACCGGGAGCCAGGCACCTGTACACGCGTGCTCTTATTTATACTCCACTATAGCTCTGCGAGGAGGTTTCTTCCCATTTCACAGCTCCGGAAAGTGAGGCTCAGAGAGATTGAGACTTGCCCAAGATCACAAAGCAAGCATGTGGCAGAATCAGGGCTGGAGTGCAGGTGATGGGGCAGTCTGGTCTGGCTCTTTGCCCGGATGACTCCTGCTCACACTGGGGATGGCACCTACCTGGGGAGTGCTGTCTCCCGCTGGGGCACCCCTTGCTCTCAGCATCACCCAGCTCTGTGGCTTCTTGTTCAACACCCACCCTCCTGCCGGGCAGCAAGTGCCAGGAAGACAGACCGAGCCAGTCTTGCTCACATGGCTCCACGCCAGCACATGGGGTGCTCGGTCAGCATTCGTTGAGTGAAAGAGGCAGTACTCAGTGGGTACCAGGATCTCTGCCAGGCTCTGGGGTGCAAAGATGGCTGCTCAGGCCTCCAGGCTGCAGTTTGGACCCTCAGTCCTAGCTCCTCAGAGGTTCAATCAGAGCAGTTCAGGCCACTGTTCCACCCTCTGGGGACCTTAGAGACCAAGCCTGGGGAACAGCCATCAGTGAAGGCCCTGGGTATGAGGGCAGGACAC